GTGGCGCTGCCGCCTGCCTGAATGCCTCACAGACAAGCACAAGGACCCAAGTTCAATCCCTGCTCCAAAAAAAAAAATAAAAATAAAAGCAAGCCAGCCTTAGAGGCCTCATAGGTCCCTCTCTCAGGGAAAATACACTAATAGAGCAAACCACATAAGATTCTCAGTTCAGAAAGTGTCTTTCACAGAAGATAAACACTGCTTGTGCAAAAGTTCATTCAAATAAAGCAACAGAAAAGGAAACAGCCATTCTCTTTAGGAAAAAATATTTTAGCTGAGGCCAAGGCAGAAGACATTGCTCCTTTTTAAATTACTACGGCAGATACTTGGGCCAGGCAGAAACTACATATATGTATATGTAGGTAACAGATATTATATTATATATTATATGATACCTAATATATATTTTGTATATGCGTATATATTAAAAAGGCATATTCAAGACAAAAACAATATTTATATATGTTCTACAGACCAAGTTGAGAAGCTACTAAAATGACACAACAAGAAACTGAGCTCCAGTGAACATTAGATCAACATGAGTTACATCTTTTTAAAAAACATGTCTTAGCCAGGCATGGTAAAGCATATTTGTAGTCTCAACATTGAGGGAGAATGAGGTAGGAAGAGCACAACTTTCAGGCTCACCTGGGCAACACTTGGCAAGAACCTGTCTCAAAATAAAAATAAAAAGGGCTGGAGATGTAGCTCCATGGTATAGCAACTGTGGGTTGGTCTCTAGCACCACCAAAAAAGACAAAATTTATTTTTTTTCTGCAATCACATATAAAGAATACATATTCATCCCTGGAACACCCCCCCCAAAAAAGTACACACACACACACACACACACACATACACACACACACACACATACTCAATTTTGAAACTTTGAAAGAATCAAGTTGCCACTATCTACAGAACACCATTCCTTTAATAGTGTTTAATTTCCTTTTATGTATTTATTTTTTTGGTACCAGGGATCAAACTCGGGACCTTGCATTTGCGAGGCAGGCAGTGGAACCTCTTAGCTAAATTCCCAGCCCTTAATTTCCTTTTTGAGGACTTGTCACATATCTTATACAAAATATACTGTCTTGCTGGATGTAGTGGCACACGCCTATAACCCAGTACTCTGGGAAACTGAGGCAGAAGGACCACAAGTTTGAGCCCAACCCGGGCAATTTAGCAAGACTGTCTCAAAATAAAAAACAAAAAGGGAATCAGTTGTGGCGGTGCTTTTAATTAATCCTCTATTGTTGCACATTTAAAGGGCTTCTTTACTCAGCCATAAAGAGTGAGAGAATAGATTCATTCATAGGAAAATGGATACATATTGAAGATATACTCCTAAGTGAAATAAATAAGTCACACATGTGTAAATACCAAATAGTTTCCCTGGTGTGAATATTCTGCAACAATGCATAAGATTCTAATAAGATTACTGACATTTAGAAATTTGAAGAAAGGAGCTAAAGGTGTAGGGAAGGTGTGATACGTAGGGGAAGAACAAAAAGGGAAAAGAAAAAAATGTGAGAGAATGAAAAGATGAAAATAAAGTGTTTGTAGATGGGGAGGGGAGGAGGGGGTGAAGGGAGGGCAGAGGTAAGGGGAAAAAATGAGAATCAAGACTTGCCATGTAAAGGTACATGATCCCAACAATGAATGTAACTGTACTGTATCCCTAAAATGTACCAATAAACTCAATAAAATTAAAAAAAAAAAAATTAAAGGGCTTCTAATTTTTTGTTACTTTAATACTACTACCAGAAGCTTCTTTATAGAGACCTACATTATATCAAATTATCAAACTGAATTAGCTCAGCAGATATGATTATACAAGCCTTTTACACAACCTCAAGTCCTTCCCCACCATATATATAAATTAAGCCAGCTGTGGAGGCACATACCCATAATCCTAGCACTCTGGGAGGCTGAGGCAGATGAAGTGGACATTAGAACCCTGCCTGATCAACTTGGCCACATCCCGTCTCAAAATTTTAAAAGGGCCAGACTAGTAGCGCACACCAGAAATCCCAGCACTCGGGAGGCTGAGGCAGGAGGATTGCTGTGAGTTCGAGACCAACCTGAGCTACATAGTGAGTTCCAGGTCAGTCTTAACTACATAGTGAGACCCTGTCTCAAAAAAACAAAAAACAAAAAAAAATTTTTAAGGAGCTGGGGATGAAGTTCAGTGCAAGGCCCTGGATTCAATTCTAAAACTGAAAAATGTAAAAAGAAAGAAAAAAGAAGAAAGGAAGGAAGGGGGAGGGGAGAGAAGGGGGAAGGGAAAAGGATAAAGGGAAAAGGGAAAAGAAAGAAAATCTAGTTCATCACACTATTGCCAATACTGAGTTGAATACATTTTGTTCTACTGAAAGGTCTAAATGGCTTTTTTTTTTGGTACCGGGGATCAAACTCAGGACCCTTGCACTAGTGAAGCAGGCGGCAGAACCAATGAGCTAAATCTCTACATGATTTCGAATTTCAAATCTAAATTTCTCTGAGAACTAGAAACAAATGCTTTTTCACTCTGTTGACCCTTTGTATTTTTTATAAAGAGCCTGTTTGTATTCTTGGCCCCATTTTTTCTACTAGGGAGTGGAGCTGCATCCATTTTTTTTTTTTTTTGGTCCCAAATTGAAGAATCCTGACCAGCATACTCACCACACACCAAAATTTTCCCCTCTTTTTTTTTTTTTTTTTTTTTAAAGAAATACAGCCAAGTGTGGTGGGGCATGCTATAACCCCAGCATATAGGAGGCTGACCCAGGAGGACTGCTGCTAATTCAAGGCCAGCCTGGGATACATACCAAGACCTTGCCTCACATAAACAAAAGACAAAAGATTCAAAATAAAAATCTGAGAACTACAGAGCTACATAACTAAAAGGAGGTTCCCAAGTCACTCCATGTTATCTTATCAAAAACATCAAGTCTGATCAAGTCAATATGTATATTAATATAAAGCAAAAATTTAGCACTTGGGAGGCTGATGCAGGAGGATCACTGCAAGCTCAAGACTAGCCTGGGCTATATAGCAAAACCCTGTCTTTAAAAGCAAAAATGAACAAGGCCAGGGATTTAGCTCAGTGGCATCATGCCTTCCTTGCAACTGCAAGGTCCTGAGTTTGATCCCCCATGCTCAAAAAAAAAAAAAAAAAAAAAAAAGGCAAAAACAGGAGAACTTTCTTTTTTCTTTTATTTTTTTAAGGGATGAATCTACAGACTGGCCTTTAACTGTAGGTTCAAGCAATCCTCCTGCCTCAGCTTTCCAAGCAGCTGAGTCTGAAGACATGCAACACTGTACCTGGCTGAAATTAGCAAAGTTTCCATGAATTAATACATTAGGTTTATCTCAAACTTTCGTTTTGGTTTTGTTTTTTGGTACCAGGGATCAGAACTCAGGACTGTGTATTTACAAGGCAGGCACGGTGCCACTAAGCTAAATCCCCAGCCCTTGTGTTTCAATGTTTTTGAGATGTGGTCTCCCTACCACCTATCTTCCCACCCACACCCACAGCCCCACCCCTGTACTGAGGAGTGAAACCTAGGCTTTTGCATTGAGTTATGTAGTTCAGGAGGAACTGAATTAATGATATAGCCCAAGTTAACCTCAAACTTGCTGCAATCCTTGTCTCAGCCTCCCAAGTGCTGGGATTACAGGCACATACCAACATGCCCAGCTTAGTTCAGGCAATTCAGCAAAACCCTGTCTCAAAATAAAAACAGGTCAGTGACTGTAGCCCATGGTGAAGGTCGAGGTTCAATCCCCAGTACCGCCACACACACACAAAAATATATATATGTACACACATACTAATATATGCTTAGGATTGGTGTGGTGGCACACATACGTAATCCCAACACTCAGGAGGCTGATGCAGGTGGATCATGAGTTTGAGGCCACCCTCGGCTACATAGGGAGACTTTGTCTTGGGGGTAAAAATACACACATGTGTATATATAAAGATGTCTGGAAACATAACAAGCTGTGTACAAGTTACCTTGGGAAATGGAGCTCCTCGCATCCATCACTTCAGGGTTTTCCACCTGCCAGTTCACAAAAATCACCCAGATAAGATTTCAAGGTATTCCTGTCTTCAGTCCTCATGCTCTAAAATTCTGCCTTAAGTATGTAACATTACAATTGTATTCTGGTATTATCCAAGGAACTTTTTTCTTTGCAGTACTGGGTACTGTACCCAGGGCATTCACACTGAACTCTAGCTCCAGCCCATTTTTTTCATTTTTGAGACATTGTCCTGAGAAGTGGTCCAGGTGGGGCTTGGATTTTTTTCAACCCTTCTGCCTCAGCGTTCCAGAGGTCTTAATTACAGGCCTGTTCCACCTGCCTAAATTAAGTACTTACAGCCAGGTGTTCTGGCACATGCCTGTTATCCCAGGACCTGGGAGGCAAGGCTAAAGCAGAAGGATCACTCCAAATTCAAGGTTAGCCGGGAGTGGTGGTGCAAGCCTGTAATCCCAGCACTTAGGAGGCTGAAGCAGGAGGATCACTGAGTTCGAAACCAGCCTGGGCTACATAGTGAGTTCAGGTC